TGTATGTATGTGTGTAATATGCCCTATATGTCTCACAATTGTGCTACAGTTAAGAGCCCAAAACCTCGAATCAGTATGCCAAGTATTCGACCGGCAAGAGTCCGTCCTATTAGGACCACTGGAATCGCGTGTATATGTCGCATCTTTAAAGGCTGGAGACGGTGTGTTGTGCTCTACTAAAACAAAACAGCTCGTCAATAAGGAAGTGAAGTCGAGGCTATATTGGGCTCTTCTGACATAGTACAGCACATCTGCTTCTAATCAGTAAGATGGGATTCACGTATTTTTTGGAAAGTCACTCTGAAGCGTTCCTTAGTGTGTCGAAAAGACTTGGTCAACAATGAGAATAATCCAATATCTTTATGACTTCACTTCAACTTCTGCTATCAAAGCTCGCTTGTGGACCGAAGCATAAACGTTTGCGAATAAGTGGACTGTAATATTCGGGCTACACAGGGGCCACCGTGTAATTCATCATGGAATCGCGACTTAGAATTCCACGTTCCTGTGACACCTGTGTGGTGAGACCCGAATTTTTCAGCAATGTAACAACCAAGTCTTGACTCCTAAGGACACAGTATTAGATGGACATATGCATCAACGTGTTTGGAGCCATTTGTGAAATAAAAAAATGAGTGACATGAATTTTTTACACAAAACCCGTATTTAAGTCTAAAGGCTCCAGTAGTTTCTTACATTGGTGATAGAAAAGTAGGAGTTTTTTTGAAAAATGCACTCATTCACAGACTAATTTGGTATTACTAGGAGACTAAGCTAGATCGTTTATGGTGGAACTTTCAAAATCTCATAAGCAGCGTGTTCCAACTAATGTTTTTATATTTGTCCAGTAAAACTGATGCCAGTGCCTCTTTCGTCGCTGCACTTTTGTGACTTGCCTGTAGCAACCAACCAGGTCAATGGACACGGCGAAATTTATGAAATGCCCACTTCTGGTCGACACCAAACTTCATGTGGTCCTTTACCCAGTGTACACTTCATGGAGTAAGACCTGTGCCAGCAAATGTGTTAATTCTAGAATCGCCAACACGCTCGGCTGTCGTCACGGTTATCAGATCGCGTGTGGATGACTAAAGTTTTGAGATTCACAATGTACGCGAATGATCGCCAAGTGGCTCAAATTACTCGTAAGAGGCACGCGGAACCCAAATTTATCACTATATACACTTAACCTATAGTTTGCTTCATCTGAAAGTGGTCACACTTTGGGCTTAAAAATTCACCAACGCCCATTAGGTTTGGGGTGCTTCATTGCCTCGTGATCTGTTCGACCAACCAGATTTGCATGCTGTGATAGTCAGTGCAAACAAACCGATGATGGACACAGCCAGCTGCAATAATGTTATTTACCACCAGGTTTCTGAAACGGAATAGCCGGATAACCTGATGGCACATTTTTATTCTTAAACGTGTAGGTACGTCATTAACTTGGGACCTCTGCAATAGCCCGTTGAGTTTCCATAGAAGGAGGTGTTGTCACCGTAGTGGTAGGAACAACCTGTTAGTAAAGTTTGTGGCCTACTCCCCAGAAGCGTGTATACATTCATCTACACTGCCCACTTGAGCGATCCTCATTCAGTTCGATCTTCTGAAACCGCCGTAGGGAGCTATTTCGGTGCACTGATAAAGCTAGCCCACAGAACAGAAAGGCCGATAAAATATCAAAATAGAATAGAAAAAAGAATTAAATAAACCAGCTATCAAAACACCAGGTTTTAAGTGTTGAAGCACATAAGATTTTCTGGGACTTTGCTGGACGACAGCGAAGGCATACGTGCATCCCACAATTCGCATTGCGATTAATGCTCTCCGTGGTGCATTTTATCAGCCCGTACGGCTCAGATCTAGTTTCTGATAAATACTGATCAATCCGAGAGTGACAAGTGTAACTTATTTTGGACCATGTGCGTTAGAGAATGAGGACAGAGTGTGGTATATAACACTTCGCAGTTACGCACCCTCTTCGCTTACCGAACTCTGATCTCTACCCGGTTGTCGACTTTATTCCTTCAGATAACAGCTCTTAGCGACACTTGAAGTATGCGATTTTACTCCAAGGACTGTATCAAACGACAACACCCTCCTTCCTCAGCTTGGGGCTGACATTCGTGCACTGCTAATTTTATTCGTTGACTGTTTGTGACTTCGTTTTCTGCTAAGAAAGAAAACGCATAGACATTTCACTTCAAGGAACAACATTCTGGTGCATATCTGCACGCAAATACGAAGCTCATATCGTCTAATCGTACACCAAAACTACACGAGCTCTAATCATGTCTTCTAATTTTCACTGGTTTGTTTGCTTGTTTGGAAGCTGGTCTTTTAAAATTTGAACATTGGTAGGCAGGCTTACTTGATTTTATGTAGGGGAATTGTGGTGAAACAGTGCTTCCTGCGCTTGGAGCTTACGCTTTCAGTTTTAGTTTATGCTCTTACCCAGAGTCATCAAGCGTGACGTGCATTCACTGCTACACTTAACATGTACTTTGACGTAGCGGCGTCTGACTTAAGAAGTTCGCGGTACTTTGGCGGGACCAAAAGCGAACAGAAAGAATTTGTAACTCCAACAGTTGGCAAATAAATCTTCAGAAAGACGGCAAACTATTTGTGGAATACTGATCTACTCCTTTGTCTTCTGTGCCGATCGACACACTCACGCGGCAAGGAATCCTGGCTGTCATGATGTCATTGTCATCCGTTCTTTGTCGTTCTTCATGAGAAAAACAGTCGTGTCCCTAAACGGATGGATATCAGTTGTCGACAGAATAGGCCATGATGAGTTCACGTTCCTTGAACGACCTCAGCAACCATCCACTAGATTGCCTGTTGACCTGTTTTTATCTAGCCGACATGTGATGAATGCTTTGTGACAGGATCACAGGTTGCTGGGATGGAAAACCCGGATAGGCTGCGCTTTTGTATGCTGAATACAGGAAGACGGTTATTACCCTCATTGTTTCGCAGATGGAAGTGGTTTCCACATGTTGTCAATTTTGTCACTGGCTGAATGGATGGATTCAACTTATTGAAATATAACGGCTGCTCAAAGTGAAGCAGGGAAACTTATATCGGGCTTTAAACGGCAATGTTTTCCTCTCAAAAACCTCTGTGTAGTCATAAATATAATACCCTTACTGCTACTTCTGTCGCCACTGCTGCATATGACCACAGTATTGCTTATCTGTGCGTAAACGCGTATATGCGAATTCAGATGAGTTTTAGCGTGAGCAATATCTCGTAACACCAACCGAGAAATCACGGCGGGTGTTGTTTATAGTTTAAGACGGTACACTATCATTCTGATCGAATCGGTTTGCCTGTGCGTGCAGAAGTTTGAGTAGCAAGCAGTAATTTTCCAAGTGAAATACCACGATAGATTTGCTTGTCAGCTTAACCACATCTGAATGTGACGATTTGTCATTAATGCTGAAAAACGTTATGGGAGTTTATGGGCACATGTGTATGTCTAAACCTCATAACAAGTTTCATCAAGCGTGTTGCATTTATCGTTGTCTAACGAATGTCGTGAATTGATAAGCTCATTCGTGTCAGGGATTATAAATTATCCGACGATTGCGTGGATGTGGAACACAAGACACTAGTCGGCAACCTTTCATTCGAGTGCCTACACCTCATGCCTACGTTACTCAGAAAAAAATATGTTTTGAGATAAGCAAATGTGTTTTGCCGGATATGTGTAATACTATTTAAGTCGAAGCGAAGTCCAAGTAATTTAGGAAACAGTATGAAATAGCAGCGTTCCTGCACATGTTTTCTGACATCTCCGGCTAGATGCTAGATGACTAGAGAGCACTGCGAAATGAGTTGGTACGAATTTTGGCAATGTTATTAGATTTCGCTAGAAAAGAAAATTGCGATAAACATAGTAACCTTTTTTCGTTTGTCTTCTTGTGCTAAATTCCGTTGCGTTCCAAAAGACAGTGCATATTGTTAGCATTGCACATTAAGATTCAAGGTATTTTGTCAAAAGCTAACGAGTTCAATTGCTGTGTTTTAAATTGCATGTAGATTTCGTCTCAAGCCAACATATCAAACGACTGCCGTAAATGAATCCTACCTATGACTTGGGTCATTACTGTTAGCAAATGAAAAGCTTTTCCATTTAAAGCATCTCTCTCAGTCGCCCCGCAAGCAAGTCGTCATCCATACACATTATAAAACCGGCTAGCATTTTTCTTGAAGCTAGAGAGGTAGCTTACATTTTGAAGTTATAAACTTACATTAGTGTTAAACAACAAATTCAGTTAATACTCTTTCGGGTCTCGCATCAACGCCACGTTAATATAAAACGTTCCTTGCATAAAGTGGTGTTCACTTTAGACAGAAGGCTGATGGAAACACGGAAACCACGTTTGTCTGTTACGGTGATGCCTCCATCAACATGACTGGCATTTGTTCAAAATCAGATGTAACTGTATCATTCTTCCATCCATCTGAGACTGAAACTGCACTTCATCGCCAGAGTAAGCAAAACAGCTCCTGTCACTAATCGCCATTCTAATAGTTAATAAATTAAGACTTACCGTGAACGGAAATAATATCTTTTAACAAAAAATTTCTTATGCCTTTATTCACCGCCTGTTTGTCCTGGACATGTGGCAGCAAGTTACAGTGAAATTACTGATTGTTACTTCAACTCTGTTCTTACATTTTGTATTCCAACTTTGATGTTTAATTTTTGAATAGCAAGGTTTTATTAAATGAAGATTCAGATCCACTGGCTCAGTCGCATCCCATGGGCATAAGGGTGCGTTACAAAATTCAACGATGATAGATATTTGTCTGATTTTTGGTATGAAAATATGAAGCTCTTAAGGAACCATTCAAAGCAGATTTTATGACATCAGGGTACTGCTATTTTTTCTAGACGCTATTTCATACTACGCCTTCTAAATTCAGAATTGACAAATTCTTCATGGAGAATATTCGGATGTTTCCATCCTCCTCCTTCCTGTTTATAGACTGAATACCACAGGCATTTTGAAAATGCACTGCTCCGTTATCTCTGCAACTATGATGACTTGATTATCAAGTCTTCATTAACTGTGACCGATTTCGAGCTAAACATTGTAATTCCAACTTCGCTAAAAAAACTTCGGCTCCTTCCTGATAGGCTATTGAATCAACACTCATGAACACATTTAAAATAGGAAAAATGTGCTCATCTATCATCTGTAGAAGTCTGATGACTCGTCATCACGGGTCCAATGTCAGTTTTTGGTAACTACATGAAAGCTGAATTTCCTCATGTACAGGCCATACCGTACCGTTTAACTCACCAATATTTTAACAAAACTCAGGCGGTATTTGGGTTGGCTTTAAAAGATGAATTCAACTGCTAAGCACCTCCCAGTGGATCCGTCTAACTGGGTCAGTTAAACTGTGAGTTTTAGGTTAGCTGGGACAAGACCTTGTTCCGTTGTGACCAGTTTAGTCAGCGCATTCCCATGGGCACCATTCATCAAAATTTGGAATCTCGACGCCTACTGACGCAAGTCTTAAACGATCGTCTCATTTTGAAATACAGTGCGTCTTCATCGCGTCACCTAGATTCACTGCATCATCCAAGACTCCTTCGCATCTTGACATAAAACAGATACGGATTGAAGTGAAATGCAGCCTGAAACATTCAGGATGAAGAAAGCACTAGACGATCTTCAGTGCAGCGGTTCGCGTTACCGCTGAAGTGAGTCACTGGTCGTTGATTTGGTCATCATATATTTCAGTGATCCGGCGCTCACGAAAAAGGTATGAAGGAACAAACTCTCAGGGGGACTGCAAGAACACACTGAAGCTCCAGTGATGCAACTCAGATAACTGAGCTAGTCAGGGTAACTAGTTAACCGTATACGCCCCGTATCACTGCTTAGAGAATCAGTAATTAAAACCGTTCGGGCTCTACAACATCTGAGGACGCATTTTGGCATCTGTAGATTCCTTTCGATTATTTGAACCAGAAAAATCACAATAGATCTAGTTGGTACGAATCATATAAACAAATGACGTGTTGAAATTCATAACTTGCAAAAGTGACACGATAGGGCATGACTTTTATTGCTGCGGTCAAATGAAATTTTTCTGCATTTCGACCTCATCTATTTGGAACAACTCTGCAGCTGCCTGGGATCACGGAACAGTCCTGCACAATGCATACCAGAACACCTATTTGAGTGAGCGAGCAGACGCATCCATATTCCTGTGTAAGCGTGCACACACTTTTTGCACATTTATTGCCAGTTACTCAACACCACAATGCATCAACAGTGTGCATACAAAAGTGCGTTGGACGTTCTCACGGTTATTCGTACATAAATATGCACGGCTGATTCCGGATGAGCTCGGCGACCTTGTCACGTCAGACGGTCAGAACAATTAAAGCACAGACACAGAAATTCGCAAAAGCATCCACATTATGAGCTTCAATCCGTCGTCCCCATTTTGACCACTCAGCCCATTACGGGAACATTGCCTGACTGCACTTTACGTCTAGGGTAGTCATTTGGCAAAATATCCAACTGATTCAGTAGAAAGCTAGAGTTTGTCCACGTTAATCAGACATGAAACAGGATGAACCCGAATATTCAGTAACCTAACCTGGCTCATGAACCAAGCTAAATCAAGGGAATTCGAGTGTCTGGTTTTGCGTTCCCAAGGTTATAGATTCCCCGATCTTCTTCCAAATGCACTAAAATCTACCAATTTGTAAAAAATCTACAATTGGTGTACCCAATGCCCATCCACAACTCCAATGCATAATCAAGTAACACGCTTTGTAATGCATGTTGCTGCAGTTTGCTGTACAACTGTGACCTTAGCTGATAAGGTGTAGTTAGGTGATGTGCCTAGAAAACTCAGAGTGGACCCTGAAATGAAGATTGTGCCCTGATATACTTCCGAAACAAGTGCGATTTGACTGATATTTCAGGGTTCCTTGAAGCTTCTAGCAAAATGTTTGGATTGAAAAGATGTTTCTCACATTCTCATAGCAATCTGCAAGTATCTTCAAATTACAAAATCCGCCTATGCGTGTTTCTGTTTGTTTGGTTGTTTGTTTGTGTTTCGATTACGTACCAGTCGTAAATGGCCGGTGAGTTATTTGACAGTTAGTGCGGATTGGATTACACATCTTTTGAAGTGACCATTTCTATTCTGGAAATCCTGAGTTTAAACGAATATGTTGGCGAAACCTGGTTCTTGTTCGAGTACGAGCAGCAATTCCCACTCTGTCACATTCAAATGACAAATAATACAGATTGAGCGAAGAAATCAAGAAGCCATCTTGTGCCTGTCACATGGAGTGCTTGTTTTACCTCGGGGTAAAATCACTTTCTATGTTTACCTGTCATCTACATTGGTGCATATCTAGTGTTGCAGCGGACGACATGGTCATAAAATTGTATGTACCGTGCACCAACTTGGGGAACAAGAATATGATCGGTCATCGGTACACATACATACACAAAAATCTCACACCCTTGAAGTGAATGTGACAAGGCTGGATGCTGACCACGTTTTTTAAACGAATCCCCGAAACGACTGTAAACACCTGGAAATGTATCCTGAACTACATAGGTACACACATACACGTGTAACTTGTACCTGATTGACAGCATGCCGCCATGGTTAGTGTTTATGAGATGGGAAAGCACTCTAAATTTGCCACGTAAGGACGTACAGAAGTTGACCACATGGATACATGCCTTTTCTACACGTAAATTATCGCCCACATGTTTTTGTTGGCAATGTTTGTGGAGGAGTGAAGGTGCACCCTTCTGTAGGTAGGTGGAACATGCCATCAAACCCTGCAATCTACGTGCGGAAAATGGTGATTCCTACACAGTTACAGTATTTGTTTGTATGACCGATGGGAATGTACCCGTTTGAAAAAAAAANNNATGGGAATGTCCCGTTTGAAAAAAAAACGGTTACTGATGAAAAAATAAAATGTGAAAATGTAGAAGGATTTGGGGCGTTAAACATTCTTGACTAAATGGTAATGCTAATTATAAGCTGCTGACACATCTACTAGAAAATACAAGGAGAAGGTCACCCACCTTGTTCTGCCGAAGTCATAATCACAAAGTTGTTTCGCTTGCAGTTGTTCAACTTGTCTCTCAATAGGGTGACCATGTGAGTAACTAGGATTTGCTGGGTTGAGGTTGGAAATCTCCAATGATTTGGAATCGGCGAAAACCTAGAATTTACAAGTTGGGAAGATTATCCATAAAAGATATTTGCAGAATACTACATAAAGCATTGCGGTCCTGTGATATATCTATTAGCTTTTGGGACACTCTCGTTAACGGAGAAAGTGTCGAGGAGTGCCTAACCTGAAGATGGCAACAATACACCAAGTGTTGTTTAATTCTTTGAGGACCAAGACTCCATTATCAAAATGACCAGGCCGCTCCAAATCTATCCTCGGAAAGGAAAGTACGATCAACTTTTATAACAGTCCTTTGAATGTGTTCATTTTCAGAATTTAGAATATTTATCATTAAACCCTTCGCTTCTTCTTGGTTGACTGACTCTGTGTTTAGAACGAAGTCAGTCTTAGGAAAACTGCACTGCTTTAACGCTCAGGCCGGCCGTTTTTCTGGGATGAAGGCGCAATTCAATCAAACTTTGGTGCATAGATGCGTCCATCCGATGATGCGAGCGGAATCATGGATGATAACCAGCTGGGAGTTTGTAGATAAAGATTACACCAACGTAATTTATAGATCACTGACCCCATTAGTCACCACCAAAATATCAGCAGCGAGTTTAAACCAGCATGGATAGATAGCAACGGAAACAGTTTCGGCCATATGCTCACCATTGACATTGATGTTAGCGTGGTATATTCAATGAAGCCAAAAGGCGAAAAAATATTAGAAATATAAGTTTACATGACTACAGTCCATAGTTAGATAAAAACTAGTTTACTAAGACTCAATATTTGAGCAGAATGTTGTATCGATTCTTGCTTGGTGTTCTAGTCTCTCAATGCGAAGCATCCAAAATGTCTCTCACTTTCCTGTTGTGAAAAAATTCAGTACAGATAAGGGATCTGAATATCCTCAGATCCACAGTTTTTGTTGTCTATTTCTTGTTGAATGCAAATGAACTTCAAAGATTCTCAACAACCTTTTATTTGACAGTTATCATTTGGGTACCTTGTTTTGAATATCAATGTACCCATCTATAACGTGAAATTAGTTTACACTGATGAAAAGCCATCGTGAACTCTACTCGTTTTAACCTATCTTAACCCATATTCCCACTGAATAAGCCTTCACTGAAGTCAAAATTCGAATGAACTGAAGTGCCTGAATGCTTGGGTTTTGTTACATCTATCAGGAGTACCTGACAGCAGTCAAATACCTACCCGTTTTTCTGCAACAATGACTTCAGTTATCTGTTAATCTGAATGGTTGGATTTGACCTTTTTGCCGTCTGTGTCGAAAGGAACAAATGCGATTTTCATCGCCCTCACTAGTATTGGTTGGAACGCCTATTTTTGTACCAGGTCACCAACGGCGTTGTGGCTACTCAGCTGTTAAGCAGGCACGCGAACAACGACACTCCTGCGCTTCCCCCCTGAACGGGTTAAATTAGCCAGACGGCGAGGACAAAAAATTTCGGTGACAGATGTGGTAGGAGAGCATCGTCTATTTTTTGTTCATATGATGAAGTCCATCTGAATTATTCACTGCAGTGAGCTGACTTGGGATCTAGTAATCGTTCAGTCGTAACCGACACAGAAAAGACAGCGATCCATATGCTACCCAGACGTGAAATAACTGACATATGCCTCACAAGGTCTAAGGCCCGGAAATGAGAAGGAAATATCTAACCACTTACCGTTCTCAAGCATAATCCGAGAAATAGTTTCATCGAGCATTTGGTATTTTGTCGGACCCCAAGTTTCCAGCCGTAAGCATGTTTCACTGACTCACTTTCCAGTGTGGAGCTTGGCTACTTGTTACTACCACAGTCGAAGATTTTGAAAATGTGTGCGCCTGGGGCAGGGCTGTTCCATATAAGTTACTGTTGTTCAAGCAACAACTTGCGCCCATCGAAGATA